GGACACACTGATGAAAATTAAAAATTTATTAGACCTTCCACACAAATCTTGGATGAAGTTGATTCTATGTCTAAAGTGTTTTTAATTGCTTTTTTTGAATGTTGTACATTATTATTTTTTTTGATATTTTTTGCTCTTAAAATGATAAAAATAAATAAAAATTATTTTTTATGAAAAATACTAATGGGCCATAATATAACAAATATGTTATACAGTTATAGGGTGTAGTGGAATTTTTTGAAATTCATTTAATAATGGTGTGCAAAAGTTCAGCATATAAAATTTTGAACTAAAAATAAAATTTTTATTATAATTTTTTTTTTAAATATGTTTTTTATAAAGTGGTTATTATTTTTAGAATTTTGACATTTCCACTCTAGTGCACTATGTTTTTGTTGTTTTACTGAAAAATATGTTGAACTAATACAAGATGAGGCTTGATCTCAAATCTCTCCCCAGGCCAAGCATATGACTATTGGAGGCTTGATCTCAAAAGTTCTCTAAATGTATAAAATAAAGTTAAATAATAAAGTTCAATTCAAGTTTTATTATACTTGCTCATTTAATCATTAATACGATAGTGGTGTAGTGTTAGGCCATTTACTTCATAAGTGAGAAGTTCCGAGTTCGATCCCCAGAGTTTTATGAATATAACTACCTAAAGGAGAACCACAACTGTAAAGAATGGTGTTTTATAAATTTAATTACCTAAAGCATAATCACAACTGTACTATCATGATAAGAAAGTACCCAGTAACTGCAAAATATTCATTTTGCACAACTTGCTAATACTAAACATTCTTATGCCAACCAGAAAAAATGTTTAACTATATTGCTTGTGTCCATTAATGAATTATAAATTGACTTTTCTAATTATTTTTTTGTTTTAAATTAGCTTAAAATCCAGATACTGTGTTCTTTATTTTGCTTACATATGAAGAAAAGCAGGTACTGTGTTAGTGAAAAAAAATTAAAATTACTATTTCTGTATTTTTAATTTTTTATATTTATTTTAGTCAACTAGAAACAAAATGTATTGATATTATCAAACAAAGTAAGATGATATTAATAAAAACAATGTTTTCAATTTTTTTACAACTACAAATCAGAATATATAGGATAGTAATCATGACCAGACTTGTAAAATAAAGATGTCCATTCAAAATTAATTTAAGAGTAGTTAAACCATAACAAATAGTTAAAAAGGTTTTTTAAATCTGACTACAGAAAAAAATACGAATCTGATTAGAATTACTTATGACTGTATAACATATTTGTTGTGGCACAAATGTTGGGCTTTCACTCTGAAACGGTTAAATCGTCTACATAGGCCATTTTTAGATCAATCCAAAACTTTCTTATATTTATTGGCAAGAGTAGACACAGTTTAGAAATTGTCATCTTTTTTTATTTGCTGAATTCCTCTTGCATCCATTCTTGTGACAGGTTTCTGCACACCCAGCTTTTTTACTTTAGCTGTAAGGAAATTGAGTTAAATGTCTGCCCCACTAAACTCATTCCTATACCACAGAATATTACTGTCATTTTTTCTCTCTGCTCTCACAAACCATATCTGAGAGATATGGTCTTGGGTTTATTTTAGCTTGAAAGTGGTTGACGAGTCCTTCCAGTTGCTAAAATTGGTTGGTTGCATAGACTTGGCTTTAGCTTTTCTAGAGTTAGCATTCTGCATACACGTAAGATAGTCATTAAAATCATAAACTTTGCCGGTTGCTGCTAAATTCAACCTGATAATGGAAGTTGTCTGCAGACATGCCCAGGTTCAAAATATTTAATTTCAATTCTATTTGCAGAGATTTCATCACTATTTACTATATGAAGTAAGAATGTGAAAAATGCCCAATTTTTATTTTGACTGGCACAGTTGTCAAGCCAAATATGCTCTTTATCACGTTTCTCTAAGAAAAATGCACAAAAGGCACTGATGATTTCTTCTTTTTTACGTCCAGCTACAACTTCATGTCAAACTGCTGCAATAGCTGGAGCAGGATTGTGATTTCCGAGTGACACAAAGCTTTTGTTGAAGGCAATAATTTGTTGAATAAAACATACTGATTTAAACTCTTCCATCCTTGGCAACATAATTACCTTTTGTAAGTCAGCAGAATAAACATTACTGCCACCATTTTCTTTTTGAACTTGTCTGTCACTTCTGTATTCTTTTCTGCTCAAAGTAGCTTTATTGTGGTTTTGGTCATGTAAATCTACGCATTCACATGTTTCGCATTGCTCATGCCCTAGTTTTGTTAAGGATATTGCCATTTCTTTCAAAACCTTACAATACAGGTCATAGGAACAAATGAAATTTGAAGTTTGTTGAATGAATTTTTTTTGCATGTTTTTTCTTGTAATATTGGATGGTTAATACCTTCTGTTAGGTACGTGCTCTCTAGGATAGTGAGAAATGCATGGATGAAATGACTCGATGTGGTTCCTAAGGATCTCTCTGTTGAATTTTTTAGGATTGGCAGTTTTTCCTCTGCCATCTTTTTTAGGTGTTATGTTTCCATCATTGATTGAACTTAGAGCTTGGAACACAAAAAAATCATTTTTTGCGTTGAAACCCAAAGCTGAAACAGTATGATTTCCATTGTACATAAAGTACTGATTTGTTTTTGATCACCTTGATGTATCAATGGTATGCCGATTCACAGTTTTTCTTTTACAGCCAGAAATAATAAAAACTTTTTGTTCGTACCAAAACAGATTCCAGAATTCCATGTTTAATCTATTACGCTGAGTATCATCTATTTTCATGATGCAATTTCGTTTACAAGTAGATTTACAGGGTAGCAGAACACTATGTTTAAGAAGTAACTTTGTCTTTAGTTTATCTTTTACAGATTTAGATATAAAACTTTTTTTTCTTTTTGGAACATTAATATCTTCCTGTATTTCTTGAATGTTGGCAAAATTAGATCCAACATTGACTATATATATAATTCAACATATATATTCATATATATTCATAGATTTATTCATATCATAGATATATTCATAACATTGAATATATATATATATGTTATTCTCTACATCCATGGCAAAAGCGTTAACAAAATTTAATCCAACATCGACTACACTTGTAATGTCATTCGCTACATCCATGGCCTCAACATTGGCAATAATTGTTCTGACTATGTTTGCAATGTTATTTGCAACATCCATGTCAACAATATCTGCCACAAAATGATTATATTTAGCATCCACAACTTTATCTGTTTCAATGTTCATTCCTGTCGCAACTTGTAATAAATCAAACTTTAGTGACAAACTTTTTCAGTTAAGCTGATCTTTAGAGCATGTCTGATCAATTTTATTATAATTTAATTCATTAACATTGTTTGCTTAGCTAACTTTACCATTTTCGAAGCTCTATTTATTGTGTCTAAATAAAACAAACAATAAAGTTTATAAAAAAATTTACAAAATTTAAGACAGCAAAAATTGGCTACAACAAAAAAAAATTTTTTATTGTTTATACAACGAATGTCATAATTATGTCATTTCATTCGTTATTAGATCTGATATAGAAAAAAAAAAAAATTCTTGTCAATGTTTTAATTTAATTCAATTCTGAAAAAACATTCAATAAAATGTGTTAAATTTTTTTATGAAATTAATATGTTGAAAAGCTTTAAAGTTCTACAAATGTTTTAACTACAATAAAATATTACTTAATCAAGACAACAATATTTAACATTATTAATGTCATTTTCTTTATCAGATCTTGAATTCAAATCATATTATTATTACTATTATTATTATGCATACAATATCACTGCATATATTCACATTTGGTATTGGTCAGTAGGGTAAACATGGGTCATGTTGACCCTATTGACCAATAACCAATATGACTCTGTTATGCTGTGTTAAGGTATCAGCAAAACAGTGAAAATATTTAAAAACCCTGTACCCATTACCCTGTTTATACATTTTTATTAGGTGTTAAGGTATTAGCAAAACAGTTAAAACCCTAATCCAGATTGCAAAATTACTACTTTAAACGTACTTTTCAATTAAAATCTAAATCAATTTCAATCTAAATCAATTTACAATTTACACTAAATTTAAAATAAACAAAATTTTCTTTTTAATCCAAATCAATTCCAATTTAAAAATAACTTTTATTATTATTAAAATTATTTTATTATTAAAATAAACAGTAAAAACAATAGCTGAACTATTAAACAAATGTTATAAAGTTAACAATAATTTTATATCATTTTAACGCAATTAAAATAACAAGAAATACTTCAATGTGCATGTGCAGGTGTTATTTTTTTTACTTCCGATAATAAGAATAAAGAAAGTAACTGTTTTTAGTCACAGTTCCTGTTTTTTGCAAAGTTTTATATTTCCTGCAGATACTGTAAAATTAAAACATCCAAAACAGATGCTTAAAGATCACACATAGTGTTTTTACTTAAACTACAGATCAAGAAAATAGTAATGAATAGTTTTACCAAAAAAAAAAAAAATCTTGAAAATTGAGTTACTGTGTTCTTTCATATCACAGCAGTGTAAAGGACTTTTTTCATATTTCTGTTATAATAACTATATAAATTTTAATAAATTTTAAAAAAATAAACTTTTGTTATATTTTATACGATATTTTGTAATTATCTTAATTTTTGTTCATTTGATTTATTGTTTGTTTTTTTTTACTTTGTGTTTTTTTTTAAATTTCTTGTTTATCCATGTAAATGAAGTTTTATTTGTTTTTGTTTTTTTAATTAAAAATGATCCCTCTTTCTTTAAGTAATTTTTTGTCAATGTCAAAAATTTGCTTGATTTTATTTTTTTATTTCATATATAAGGAGACTTTATTATTTTTTATTTTTTTTTTTCTGTTTATTATGAGGACACTTTATTTTTTGGTTTATTAATTTTATTATAAGGTTTTATTTTTTGTTTTTTTGTTTTGAGTAACCTGATTGTAATTTTTGTAATGTTTTGTAATTTTTTGTATGAAATAGGATACTTTAGTTCCGATAGTGGCTGAGTATGGCGAACTGGATTCAATCAGTTTTAAACCAGAGTAATTATTTATATAATTTATATATATATAATTATAAATTAACAATAATTATAAAAAAACAAAATAGTAATAATAAACTTATACAGAAAATACTTTTCAATGCTTTTTAGTTATCATATTGTCATGCAACCCTTTTTTTCAATTTTAATGTTTTTTTTTTTTTTTTTTCTGTTAAAATAGTTACAAAAAGGCATGGTAAATAAAAAATAATAAATTTACTCAAAATTTATATTATTTTACTCATTTAGTTTTATTTATTACTTATGTATTATTGAATTTATTTAATTTTGGTCTTAGATATTTTCTTTTTTTCAAAATTTTCATCTTAGCGCATTTGCATCTTGCATAAATCACATTTATTCAAAAATAAATTCTGGATTCATTTTTTTGGTATTTATGTAAATATTTAAAACAGTCTTTTTTTTATATTTCAGTTGTATAATTGTTTCTTATCAGTCAGAAAATGCATCTAACAAAGCTGAAAAAAATTTAAAATTACTTCCAGTTAAAGGTGTTCCGTTCTCAATAGAGGTTAAAAAAATTATTGGTAAGAAGATTTTTAAAATATGTTTATAATAGGTATTTATAAACTAGTAATCTACTTCACTTCAAGTTATGAGGAGTAAGGAGTTGTTCAAATCATAGAAAGGGGTAAAGAGTTATTCAGGGGTAACAGGATTTCTTCAAGGAATTTTTAAAAATTTTTTTATTTTAAAGTTTGAAATAATCTGATTGGATTATTAAAATAAATTAATAATTTTTTTGAATTATTTTAAAACCTTGGTGATCTGGCTGAATTATCTGAGCTTTTCTTAGATAATTTAGTTGTCATTTTATTTTTCATTTAAATTTTATTCATTCTAAAACAATTAAACATTTTTTTTTTAAAAAAAAACATTTTTCCTTGAAATCTATAAATATAATCTAAGAATAAAAAGTGAAAGCAATCAAATTGAAGTATGAATGAAAACAGATATTGCAGACATTTGACATTTTTAGTGTAAGTAGACATTTAGACAATTTATTAGATATATTTTTTACAAAGTTGTATTATTAAAGTATATATTTATACTAAGTATTTTTATAAGTTATCAACATTTATTTTCAATAATAAATCAAAATTTATACTAAGTAGTATTTGTATAAATTATAAATATATAATTTCATTTACAAATCAAAATTTATACTAAGTAGTTTTTGTATGTTATATTGTATCTTGATTGAGTCATTTTATTTAAAATATTAACAAACATATTATTGAAAATATTTCTTAATAACAGTGGTTGTAAGTTGCCATACTTGCTCATGTAAACAGTTTTTCAAAGTTTTTCGAGATATATTGGTAATACCAGTTTATACTTTTTTCTCATCTGTTGAGGTATGGCAGTTTTTAAGGACAGCAATGTATTTACATATATATATATATATATATATATATATATATATATATATATATATATATATATATATATATATATATATATTCTTTTTCTTCTTGATCCAGATCAAATGACTGTTTTTCTTATGTATACTTGAATTTATTCAGAAAATCAGTACTTTTTCCAAATTATAACATCTCAACAATTCTTTCTTTATTTATGCTGTTTTATCAATAGATGATATATATTTTATCTATAGATGATATATTTATCTATATATGAAATATATTTTATCTATATATGACATATGTAGATAATAATAAAATGCGGTAGTGGTGTAGTGGTAGAGTGCTCGCTTCATAAACGAGTGGTTACGAGTTCGATCCCCACCACGTCCCTGGTAGTACCGCGCTCAACTCGTTTCTCCGCGCAGTGGCCTTGTTCGTCAAGGTTCGTGTTTTGGAGTTATAGAGTTGAGAGAGGGTTATAGCCACAAAATAAGTAGCCTCCTCGTTTGTAGTGGCTTTCTCGGCCTTGAGGAGGTGAAGTAAAAAAAAATATATATATATTATCTAAATATGACATTTTATCTATAGATGACATATATTTTATTTATAAATAGCATATATTTTATCTATATATAACAGACCTTTTATCTATAGATGACATATATTTTATCTGTAGGAAACATTTTTTATCTATATATGACATATATGATATTTGACATATATGATATGTTTACATGTCTAATCTAAAAATGTAATAAGTTTCTGGGAAACAACAAGTTTTAGTTTTTTGAACAAACCTGTTCTGCTTTACCTGTTTTCTTTTTGGTGTTGGTTGTCCACTATTGACACTGTTAAATCTATTTTAGTAAACAATAATAGTTTAGTTGTATAGTTTGAATTTTTTTGTGTGTTTTGTTTGTGTTGTTTTGGGTTAGATTTGTTGCAATTTTATGGTTTAGGTTTGTGTTATTTTTATAAATTTTCAAAATGATATTTTTTTAATATAGATATTAAAGATTCCATGTTAAAATTTTTAGCTAATGGTTTAGAGAAACCTACATCCTCTGTTTTAGAAGACACACAATGTGTAGAATCAAATTCTGCACCAAAAGAGGAATCAAGTAATGGATTAAAAAATATATCTCATAATGATTTAAAAAGTGGATCAAATGATTATCCAAAAAGAGAAACTAATGAATTAAAAGAGGTAATCTATTTATTTTTACCTAATTAGTAACTTTTTTATTCAGTTAGCAACAAGATTGTGACTTTTAATGTTATTTTTTTTTTTTTTTTGTAAATTTTAATTTAATTTTTTTTGTTTTATAAGTTTTGATGTTATTAATTGTTTTTGTTAAAAGCTTGAATAATGGCAGAATCAAGTAAACGGTACAAATTCTTGATTTACATAAAATATAATGGTGGATTAGTAAACTACAATTTTGCAAGAAGCAATTTTTCTTTTGTAAAAAAGCTATTTTTTCATAATGATTTTGTTTTTTAAATCATATCTGCTTCATATAAATCATATTGTTTATAAATCATATTTGTTTTTACAATCCATTTGCTATGGTTTATGTAAAGCATTAAGGAAAAAAGGAGAAACTTGCTATGGTTTATGTAAAGCAGGAAAAAAGGAGAAACTTGAGAAATAAAAGTTTTATATTCCCCATCTATTTATAATTAATTTATTTATAATTAAATTAGTGCCAACAAATGTATTATTTAATTATATTTAATTGTTATTTAACCATTTTGTTATTTAATTACACAAATCATAAAGTATTAAAATTGTGCAACAAAATCAAAAGAATGGCATAACAAATCATTAAAAACCCAAATGAATTTACAATTTATAAACATATGAAATAGTTTTTTTTTTCTCAAGATTTCATGCTGATTATTAAAAAATAGTTAAAAAAAAGTTATTTTCTAATTATCAAAATCAAAAAAAGTCACCAATCAAATGAAAGTTAAAGTTCACACTTGGTAACAACCTTATATTCACTTCAGAAATATTATAGCTAATCACCGGAAATGTTTGCCAGAAATCACAAATGCTAATATAAACAAATCAAGTAAGGGTTTTTTCCACTTTTACCGTTTAACTTGTGCACTTCAAATTAAAAGCTTTTGCCAAACTCTTTATACACCATCAGAACATAAACTCAAGTTCATATGACTAAAGAGCTTTCTTCCAAAATGATAACAGCTTTAAATATCTTTAGTAAAATTAATTTTTCTTTTCATATGAGTTTTTTTTTTTTAGTGCAGTTACTTACTATAATGCTGTTACTTACTTTAGCGCAGTTACTTACATTAGTGCTGTTACTTACTATAGTGCAGTTACTTACTATAGTGCTGTTACTTACTATAGTGCAGTTACTTACTATTAAAATATTAGAATATCTTAAGCCATTCTTTTGTTCATTTAAGTCTAATTATCTATAAAAACTATCTGGTTCAAAAGGTAAACATGTTGCAATTTTTTTTGTTTGTTTTTGTTTTCGTTAACTTTATCCATTTTTATATTTGGTTTCAATATTTTTGTTTTCTAACAAAAGTTTACTATTAATAAATTACTTCAATAAGTATGATTTAGACATAAATCTTATTGAAATGTATTTTACTTGACATAATATACATATACATGTTTTTTAATGGTTCAATATGTTAAATATGATATATCATAGAAACTTTTAATTTTATTTTTCATTTTTACTTTTGTTTATCATGTGAATATTTAAATGTAAAGTTTATTATTTTCAGATTATTTGCAATGAAGAAAATGCATCAAAAAAAAAAGTCAATTTAAAATTTTTCTCCAATCAAGTATGTGGATTTGATCTAGATTATGATGCAATGCAAAAAATGTTTCAAGATACTTCTCAAACATATCCAAAAATGTCAAAAGATTTACCTGATCTAATAACATTTACTATTACACACCCTGTAGATTCTTGTAGATTCTGGATAATATTGATTGATGAGCATGTAAGTCCAAATAATAAAGTTATTATATTTAAATAATAATTTAATAATAGTTAATTTTCATAATATTTTTTGCTTTTTTTTAAAAAAAAAATTAATTTAGAAAACCAGAAAAAGTTTAAAAACTTAAAAAAAAGTTTTTTTAATTAATTGAATGCCCAAAACAAAACCTTCATTTAATGTATCATGATGTAACACAACAAAACCTTCATTTGATGTATCAGGTCTCCTTGAATATATATATATATATATATATATATATATATATATATATATATATATATATATATATATATCAGGCCTTGTAATGAAGTGGGAATGATTGCTCGGCGTCTGTAAACGACGTTCCTGGTGCGACAAATAGTGCTTGCTAGTTTTGTTACAAGAGCAAAAAATCACGCTTGCCTTAACAAAAAAGGGAGAAAATTAAAATTTGGATTTATATATAAAATATTTGTATTGAAAATATTTTTGCTGAAGTCAAAATATGTTGAAACTGTAGAATTTACATAATATTAATTAAAGAACTCCATGTAGTTAAGGCGATTTACAAATTATTTAAATTTTTTTTATTTGGAAATTAGGAATTGGCATGGTTTTGTCAGCAAACTTTAAATATTATAATTTTTTCTTTTTTATATATAATTTTCAAAACCTTTTTACTACCCGTAATAGTAAATCAATGAACACCATTTTGGAGTCTTTAGATCAATTCCACTCATCGGCGTTAATATGAATTTAGTTAAAGTCTTTTGAAAAAGTTAATTTAATATATAAACTATATATAGTTGTCAAAACACAATATTTCTATCAATTTCAACAAAAAATACTAGAATTCCGACCAAGAAAGAGCTTATGATTAAGAAAAATTGCCAATAAACGATCAAAACAGATCATATTGTCAAACTATAATGTTCATTTCGTTTTTTTTTGGTTCATTTTCAATATAAAATTTAATATAAACAAGAAAAGTTATAATAACCCCATTTATGTAAGAAAAGTTATAATAACCCTATCACCTATATCTGCTCTTTTGAACATAATTTCCCTATTGTTATGTAGTTTCTCCAATGCTAAAGACTGATGAAAGATTGTTTGTAACTTTGGGTTTAAGTTTTTTCATAATAATACATCAAGATCTCAAAAACCAATAAAAGCAAAATAAGAAAACTTGTAGCATAGAATCCTTGGTTTAATTTCTTGCAAATTCTCTTATTTAATGATTTTTTTACATAACAAAAAAAATCCTTAAACTATTAAACCTTGATATAACAGGGTTCATAGCACTCAGGGAAAACCTGAAAAAGTTAGGGGAATATTAGTTTTATATTTAGCTTGAATTTATTTTGCAATATCCAAATTTGGAATCTTTATCATTATTAGAATCTGGAATCTCTGGCATTATTGGAATTTGACTTGATAAAATAAAAACTTGATAACTCGACTTTGACTTTGATGCCGATTACTTGTGACTTGGTTTGAAGTTGAATTCAAGGTTCAAGTCTTGTATTTAAACTCTAAAATTGTTTATAAAAATAAATTTGTTTTGCCGCAGTATTAAGCCAAGTTTGTTTACACTAATTTATAATATTGCTTTTTGGCATTTGCAAGACGATAAAGCAAAAAGTTTAGGAGCAGAAAAACATAAAAGTGTTTTTTCTAAATTCTTTTTTTAATTGCGCAGCTTGGTTTTCATTTTTTTAAATCATTTTTTTCATTAAACATTTTACTGCATCATCATTGGATAAGGTTTTTCACTCACGGACTTGAGTGAAAAAAGAATTAAAAGACTTGTGACTTGTAAAACAATAACGTCTGGTTGCAAAAGTATTACATCCTTTAGCATTATCAGGGAAAATCATACATTTTTCACCACCTAAAATCAGGGAATAAATACTTGAAAACTGAAGAAAATCAACGAATACTCAAGGAAAATTGATTTTTAAAGTTGCTATAGCAACCCAGTATAAAACTTTTGAATGATTATCAAGGGAGTGTAAAAGCTGTGATGGATAAAATTGAAAAATTTGTTTTCTGCTTGTAAAAAATAAAAGAAGATTGAATCTATTAAAAAGAATGCAAATAATGGCATCAAATTAGGTTCAGAATACACAAGCAATTAAGTTATAAATCATTTTAACAAAAGCATTGAGCTAATAACTAAACCTAAGAGAATAACCAAGTAAGGTACAATTAGGATAATCAAGATTTTAAACATAAAAAGGAAATTTAAAATCTCAAAAGTAATCCAGGTTTTGTTGAACTTATGCTACCCATAAAAATTTTAAAGGTCATTTTTTTCACAACAAAGAGGTGTTAAGAGTTCAGTACATACAGTTACATTGGCTAAGGTCATTAATCTGGTAAAAATTGAAAGGACCTTTTTTTTTTTAAGTCACCAAAGGTCTATTCTTATGATGTAATAAGCGATAATGGTTCAAAAAGAAAAGATGATTCTATTGAAATAATTCATGCAAAACATTTTCTTCATTTTGACACTAGAATAATAAATAAGTGTTTTTATGATGCCAATTGAAATGGTGAACACTTATTATTAACAATTTTTAAAAATTAATAAAAATGACATATTGGAACTTTTTTATCATTGTTTTTTTGTAGTAAACCACAAAACAATTAAGAAAGTATTGGAGTATAATGGTGTATAATGGATGTTTTGGCATTTTATTATCAAATACAGGTGATGAGAGTTTATGTACTTAATAGAATAGTTGAGAATACTTCATATATCATCAGGCATATGAGCCCCATATTAAAATTAAATATTTTCTCGTATTTTGTTCTTATTTTGTTCATGACTTTCATTTAAAATAACGAAAAAACGGAAAATCTTTGATAAATCAGTTGAAAGTAGTTTTCTGGAAGTGATTATAAGCACCTACGAGAATTTATTTTGGTTTGACAAAGCAGTTGCTAGACTACCAAGTTTTAAGTTTTATAACCTATTGCTTTCATCATGCAAAATTGCTGTCAAAAGCTATTTATTACATGTCATAAATTTGCAAAAAGATTATTTGATTATAATGAACAAGAAAAGGCAACTGTTTATCAGGTTGTTTAGTTTACTATTTAATGTAAAATGGTTCTTGAAAGCTCCATGGCAGTTACTGTTTTCCGTTAAAAGTTTAAAAATAGTTTATGGTTTCTCGCAGAATGAAACGTGCTTCTGCTGTCAACTGCTCAATTTAAATCTTATATTACATAGAAATCACAGATTTTTTTAGAAATTTTAATTTTGAGATTAAAAACTGTAAAATTTTAAATAAAAATTTAAATAGAACATACAAATATCCTAATTTACTTTTTCTTTTTATTAAAAAAGGTGTTTAATTTTTTGGTATCAAAAATTGATCTTTAATAAGTTAAACTTTGGTTTTTATTAATTAAAAAATAATACCTATAGCACATGAAAAACAGTATATTTTAATTTTTAAATATTATGTCTGTTTGATCCACCCTAATGTATGTATATTTATAGGTATGTATGTATCCATGCATGGATGGATGTATGTGTATGTATGTATGTATGTATGTATGTGTGTGTATGTATGTATGTATGTATGTATGTATGTATGTATGTATGTATGTATGTATGTATGTATGTATGTATGTATGTATGTATGAATGAATGTATATACGTAAAAGTTTTGTCTAAAAATTAATGTTGCATGCTAAATTCTTAATCTAAACAATAAGCCCAAATCATAAATTAAATCACAAATCACAAGCTTTTACATTGCATGCAAATTTTACATTCCATGCTTTTACATAGCATGCAATTTTTACACAAATGTTTACTTGTTTCTTGAGCTGTTTTTATTGTTGCTCTGGGCCCATCTACTTTGCCTTAGTCATCTATTTGCCAAATACTGATTGAGTAAATTACATGACTATTTGAACAAATTTTTTATTTGACTCTTCCTGGAAACATAGTATATACATCGGTCAATCATTACTAATAACACTAATGTTTTATTTAATGCTCAGAGTTTCTAAAATCTGTGATAGTAAAAATTTTGAGCACAAAAGATCTACAACTAAAGTCACAAAAAATCATGTGTCTGTTGAATTTTTTTTTACCTTAAAAGGTAAAAAGAATTTAAATCTAGTAATTATATTATTATAGTAGTAAATTATTATAGTATTATATTATGATATTAGTATTGCATGTGTAATTTTATACGGATATTTTTGATAAATTTAAAGAAATTTTATAACTACAAAATCAAGTTCTATCATGTAATAGGAAAATCAACCATTTGAAAAAATTATTTTACTGCTTTTGACAACACTATTTTTATCTTGTTTTCATCTTCTTAACAAAGCTAGTAGTGAATTTGTCTTTAAAATGAAACAAGAAATTACTAACAGAAGTTTGTAAACAAGAAATTACCAACAGAAGTTTGTAATCAAGAAGTTACTAACAGAAGTTTGTAAACAAGAAATTACAACAGAAGTTTGTAAACAAGAAATTACAACAGAAGTTTGTAAACAAGAAATTACTAACAGAAGTTTGTAAACAAGAAATTTCAAAATTAGAAGTTCATTAGACAATATTTAGTGTTTAATAAATTTTGAATTAGAATGAAATAAGAATATTGTTATTTAAAAGGTGGCGATGATGTCATTCTATGAATAAAGTTTTTTACAAAATCTTGCAACGTTTTAATTTTTTTGCTGGATTTATCTTTGTGACAGACTTTTTAGTGTTTGGTTCAGATATTGTTTTTTACATTTTCAGGTTCTGACTTTTTGTTCATTTAATTGTAAAAGATTTATTAGATGTGAGATATTTCACCAATTTTTGCTTGATTCTTTGCCCATGTGGGGACTAAATCGTTCCTGTCAATGTTATCCCAAAACTGAAATATGCACACAAAAATTACTGCAAAAAAAATCTTAAATGCTTAGAAACAACATCATAAAAACACATGTAAAATGATATTATGGCATAGTTTTACTTATCTTTTAACTAAAGTTTTTTTTGCAACAAAAATACTAAAATTATTTTAATTTATTTCCGCAGTATTTTGTTGTTATTTGTATTTACTATTATGCAGATGAAAATACTTTTTCAATCAACATCTGGCTACAGCATCTGTTAAAATTATTTATACATTAGTCAACAGGTAGGATGTCAACAGATATGGAGTCCCAAAAGGACTCCAGCTTTATATCTCTACTTTTTCCAAGTCTGTAGTGTCCAGAAGCTCTAAACATGTTTGTTGACTTATCTGCTATAAGAAAAAAATTGAGGTTTAATGACTTAAAACTTATTGTTTTTAAGCTCTGAGTCCTTGCCGCCATTATACCTAAGAACTTCTAGTTCAAAAAATGATTGTTTCTCTAACCTAAAAGTCTTAATTTATCTGCTATAAGAAAAAAATTGAGATTTAATGACTTAAAACTTATTGTTTTTAAGCTCTGAGTCCTTGCCGCCATTATACCTAAGAACTTCTAGTTCAAAAAATGATTGTTTCTCTAACCTAAAAGTCTTAATTTTTTTCCTATTAGTAGTCCATACAATTATTTATATTTTTAGAGCTCCTTGATACCAAAAACAAGGATAAAGTAATCTTTTTGTGACTTTCAAATCCGGAGTTCTTTTAGGGAATCCGCATCCCTGGTATGAAAATAGAAAAATAATAATTAATATTAATAAAATAGAGATGAGTTTTACAAAACATACACAAATATGTTTTTTTTAACTGGTGAAAACTCAGATATTTTATACATGAAAACTCACTATGATTTTTTAACTGGTAAAAACTCACAAAAGAGCTGGGACTAGAGCTCCTGTGAAAAAAAAGAAACTCACAAGAGAGCTGGGACTAGAGCTCCTGTGAAAAAAGAAACTCGCAAAAGAGCTGGGACTAGAGAGCTCCTGTGAAAAAAAAGAAACTCACAAGAGAGCTGGGACTAGAATTCCTGTGAAAAAAAGAAACTCACAAGAGAGCTGGGACTAGAGAGCTCCTGTGAAAAAAAAGAAACTCACAAGAGAGCTGGGACTAGAATTCCTGTGAAAAAATGAAACTCACAAGAGAGCTGGGACTAGAGAGCTACTGTGAAAAAAAGTATTAGTTATCATATTAATTTTTTGTGAAAACCTAAAAATTAAACATTAAAAAGATTTTTAGTGTATTAGATTTTAAGTTTGAAATTTAATCAAAATCCTGATTTTTTTTGGAAAGATGTTATTCAAGTTTGCTACCTGATTAATAAAAACTAGGAATTTGAATTTGCATTTACAAAATAAGTTAAATATGAAAAAATGGCAGCCACTGCTTAGCAAGTTAAAGTAGAACTTGCTTTTGATACCATGTAGTGGTACATACTGGGACATTCATTGCACATACATTACATAATTATGGAATCTTTAACTAATATTGTTCACATTTTTTTTAAGTTTTAACTATTAGATTAACTATTTTTTTAACTATTAGAAAACATTTGAGAAGTTAACAGAAATTGAGAGCAAACTAACTGAGCATGTTTCTGTTGTTGATAAATGTATTAACCTTCCTCAAGTTGGTGATCGGGGATGTGGGCTTTATAAAGAGAATAATTCATGGTACAGGTAATTCTTTTTTTTTATTATTTATAAATTGGTTATATAAGTAATATAAATTAAATCTTAGTAAATCTTTTTTAGTTGATCATGTAATTAATCTTATACACATGTTGCTGATTTATCAACGTAATAAAATGGTAGGGTGATTCTAGAGACTAGAGTAGATGCTATTTTAAAAGTACTTTTTTATTAAAACAAAAATAATTTAGGATAAAAGTCTTTTGGGATTTAGCATAAAAATGATTTTAAATTTTTATGTTGAATATATTATATCTACTGGGCTCAGAATTTGCCAGACGTAAAGTATTTTATTAAAATTTAAATTAGTACATTCAAAATATCCAAACAAGAATTTTTAATATAAAAAAAAATTTATGAAATGTATTTTTTCTTAAAGTATGAAAAAACTCCATAATTTTTAAAATGAGCAGCAATTTTTTTTTGGTTAAAAGTAGGAATTTAAAAAACTTTAGGATGTTTTTTTTTTTTTTTTTTAATGTAAATTGCGTGGCGAATTGTTAAAGCAAAAAGTTTGAAAATGAAAATAAAATGTTGTGATGTTATAAAGTGGAATGATGTTATAAAGTAAATTTTTACTTTCAATCTATTGATTTAAAGCAGTTGTTTTAAATCATGATTTACTTTCAATCTATTGATTTAAAGCAGTTGTTTTAAATCATGATTTACTTTCAATCTATTGATTTAAAGCAGTTGTTTTAAATCATGATTTACTTTCAATCTATTGATTTAAAGCAATTGTTTTAAATCATGATTTACTTTCAATCTATTGATTTAAAGCAGTTGTTTTATATCACGATTTACTTTCAATCTATTGATTTAAAGCAGTTGTTTTAAATCATGATTTACTTTCAATCTATTGATTTAAAGCAGTTGTTTTAAATCATGATTTACTTTCAATCTATTGATTTAAAGCAGTTGTTTTAAATCATGATTTACTTTCAATCTATTGATTTAAAGCAGTTATTTTAAATCATGATTTACTTTCAATCTATTGATTTAAAGCAGTTGTTTTAAATCATGATTTACTTTCAATCTATTGATTTAAAGCAGTTGTTTTAAATCATGATTTACTTTCAATCTATTGATTTAAAGCAGTTGTTTTAAATCATGATTTACTTTCAATCTATTGATTTAAAGCAGTTGTTTTAAATCATGATTTACTTTCAATCTATTGATTTAAAGCAGTTGTTTTAAATCATGATTTACTTTCAATCTATTGATTTAAAGCAGTTGTTTTAAATCATGATTTACTTTCAATCTATTGATTTAAAGCAGTTGTTTTAAATCATGATTTACTTTCAATCTATTGATTTAAAGCAGTTGTTTTAAATCATGATTTACTTTCAATCTATTGATTTAAAGCAGTTGTTTTAAATCATGATTTACTTTCAATCTATTGATTTAAAGCAGTTGTTTTAAATCATGATTTACTTTCAATCTATTGATTTAAAGCAGTTGTTTTAAATCATGATTTACTTTCAATCTATTGATTTAAAGCAGTTGTTTTAAATCAGGATTTACTTTCAATCTATTGATTTAAAGCAGTTGTTTTAAATCATGATTTACTTTCAATCTATTGATTTAAAGCAGTTGTTTTAAATCATGATTTACTTTCAATCTATTGATTTAAAGCAGTTGTTTTAAATCATGATTTACTTTCAATCTATTGATTTAAAGCAGTTGTTTTATATCACGATTTACTTTCAATCTATTGATTTAAAGCAGTTGTTTTAAATCATGATTTACTTTCAATCTATTGATTTAAAGCAGTTGTTTTAAATCATGATTTACTTTCAATCTATTGATTTAAAGCAGTTGTTTTAAATCATGATTTACTTTCAATCTATTGATTTAAAGCAGTTGTTTTAAATCATGATTTACTTTCAATCTATTGATTTAAAGCAGTTGTTTTAAATCATGATTTACTTTCAATCTATTGATTTAAAGCAGTTGTTTTAAATCATGATTTACTTTCATTCTATTGATTTAAAGCAGTTGTTTTAAATCATGATTTACTTTCAATCTATTGATTTAAAGCAGTTGTTTTAAATCATGATTTACTTTCAATCTATTGATTTAAAGCAGTTGTTTTAAATCATGATTTACTTTCAATCTATTGATTTAAAGCAGTTGTTTTAAATCATGATTTACTTTCAATCTATTGATTTAAAGCAGTTGTTTTAAATCATGATTTACTTTCAATCTATTGATTTAAAGCAGTTGTTTTAAATCATGATTTAAATCAGATGAATAAAAATCATGATTTAAGTTGAGGTTTTATGATTTTAATTGTTTTTAATAATCATTTATTGATTAATCATTTATAAGTCAAATACACTAGCTAAAACTCCTTAAATAAGTATAAGTTATAATAGTCAGGTGATACATTATATAATGTTTGTTAGTCATATAATTTGTTATATTAATGTTTAATGTTACATTAATGTTATAAAGTTTATTAGTCATATAATTTGTTATAATAAATTTGTAAGATTTTAAGTAAATATTTTGTTTCATGTTTAACCTAATTCATTAATTTCTATTTTTGTTACTATTTATATAATATATGTATAATTATATTTCTTTTATATAAGAGTTTTATTCAATTTTATATTTTTCAAAATTTACATTTGTAAATTCTTGTAACTTTTTAGTTAAAATGAAAATAACATAGTTATAAATAAAAAGTTTGGACATGAGTTGAAGAAATACCTGCAAATACAATTATTATAAAATTATGTAATAAGTAATAATAAATAATGTATGTAATAAGTACAATGTTTGGCTAATAAAGCTAAATGCAAAAGCTGCGGTGTCCAAATGCAAGATTTGGTTGTTTGAATGAAACCACAAAACTGTAGGTAAATGTAATTTTTTGAAAGATGTTCAAGATGATGAAAAGATTATTTGGCAAGATACTGTAGAAAATTGGACCAGGCAACTAAGGAAGCATAAACTAATCAATGTTCTGTTGAGAACATTGACTAGTTTGAACTGAATCTAGTCAATGTATTGTAGACAAAGCAAGTTTTGTTTCCATATAAATAGGCAGTGGCAAGACCAATCAGTGGCAAGATCAATCAGTGGCAAGACAGTGACAACTAAATAGGATTCATACTTTATTAAAACCACAAAATCTGAAAAAGAAGCAATTGATCAGCAGATAGCAAGAATGCTTCTAACTTGCCTTTAAGAATAGTTGACCATCCAGAATTTATCAAAATGATCCATTTTTATGCCCGGGATATAACCTTTCTAATAAAACTGATATTGGTGAAAAACTATTAAATACTGTTAGAAGAACAGTTTAACTGACTGTTCAGATCTGCTTCATTATCAGTTTGTAACCATGAGTATTGATGCAAACCAGGAAGCAAGTGCAGTTCTATGCCTCGTTTGTTAATGTTTAAAGAAATTTTTTTAGACAATTTGGATATGTTTTTATATAGTAAGCGTTTTAAGAATTTGTGGCAAAATAAAGCTTCAAGAAACTACAGAGAATAAAACAGCAATACCAGAAGAAAGGAAACAAATAATATACAAAATAGAAAATCTAAATAAAATGAACTAGAAAATATTGAAAAGTAAAAAAATAAATGTTTTGTCAAAAAAATAATATACCTATATATTTTCCTGTTTTTGTTTTCTTTTTATAGAATGTTTTTTATTTTCCATTACAAGGAAAAAAGCAGATAAGAATATAACAAAAATAAAAATATTTTTTAATATACAATTTTTTCGTGACTTTTTTTAGTCATTAAGGAGATACTTTGTTATTTGAGCTAGAAACATGGGCAATTTTTAAATTTGAATTTTGAATGTTTTTGCTAAACTTTACTGTTTTCATAAATGTAAAGCAATTTCACTGAACTTTTAATCTGTTAATATAATTAATAGTTATAAAAGATGCTAAAACAACAATTTATTTTTATTTCACTCGTTTCAGTGATAACCTTTCATTTTTTCATTTTATGAATATTTACCAATTAGAGAAAAAAAAGAGTTTTCTAGTAGAATGCCATAACTAGAGGAAGAACAAACTCACATGACCCCAGAGCTCAGAAGGATCCAGGAGCTCAGAAGGGCCCTGCAGAGATTTACAAATCTTAATAATATTTTAATTCTTTTTTAACCATTAAGTTATACTTTTTTTAGATATAGTTAAAACTTTAAAAGAAATTTCTTTATAAACTTCAAAAAAAGAAGAACAAAGGTTTGAAATAAGGTACAAAATATCAAACTTTAATTTTTGTATATTTAAGGAAAGCTAATTGCTATTTATTTTTAAATAAAATTTTTTTATTTTAAAAAGTTTTTTATGTAAAAAATATTTAATACTAATATTCAAATATAAAAGACTTGGTTGTTTTCACTACAGACATTGAAATAGTCTGCACTTCCATTGGATTCTCTAAATTGTGCATTTAAACCCAGTAATTAGTTTCCTAATGAATTATTGTTATTGACGATGCTCCAAAAGCTAATGATCCAGTGTATTGTTAATTTACCAATTTTTTTTACCAAAATTTTTAGGAGCCTATTTAAAACTTTTTTTTAAGTTTTTAAAAATACTTTGTCAAACAGAGCAATTGTTATGTTCAATATCTCTAGTAATTTGCATTAACAATAGAAATTGGGCATTATAAAGGAAACAGTTTCAGACAGTCATTAAATGTGGTAAATACATTTGTAAGAGAAACCATTCTATTCTTTTATTTAATTTCTTCCATCATTACAAAATTTATTAATCAAATAATTTATTTTATAAATAAATGGCAATTTTTTTTTCTTATTCTTCTATTATATAAGTATTGAAAAAAAATGTCAAATAACATTTTTAAAAGCAAAAAGAAAACAAATAAACGTAAGAAAAAAGTTTAACAATGTTTCTCATAGTTCTAGTGTACATAGCAAATTAGTTTCATAATTATACTGACTGATAAAAGTCATAAATAAGTTGCATATTTCTATGTACCACAACGTTA